TTCCCTCGCGCACTAATAGTTAAACGCTAATAGCTCATGAGCTGCATGCATACTTGAATATATCGTCCTGTTTTTTTTTTACACAGTCAATATTTTCCCGTGAAGCTCCCAGTTGTATCTGGAAAGTTGTCCAGTTCGTCCTGCGCATGTGCGTCTGCTTTGCCGTCGTTTGGTAGGGGTGGTTTCACTTTTCCGTGCTCACGTCATTAATAACTGTCTTTATTTTGAGCCTTTGCCTGCGATTGGGGGATCGTCCATAAAGTACGGCCACGGCCCGTCACTTTCCGTTGCGGATTTGGCAATCAAAAGGGAGTGCCAAAATGTTCTTGGCAAGCCACGGCGGCGTTTAGAGTGTAAAGTTTTCATCCCATGCACGCCCGCAAGGCGCCTGGTAGGAAGGCAATATCTGGGCTACAGCGCATGCGTGTGTTGCGGGTGGCCTATCCCGAGTCTCGCAGGCGACGAGCTCCCGTAATGTGCCGAATAAATATTTAAGAAAACGGACGTACTTTCTGGACGATCCCTTATCTATGAGCAGTATGTTTGCCACCCCTCCGGCGGCGGCGGTGCACACTGATCAGCCTCTGGCCTGTAGGCGCGGCGCGAGTGCACTAAGCTTGCGACATCCACAAAACATCTGCCCCTCACCTTTACCTCCCACCACCACCATAGCGCGCTGGGCGCGACGTGCTCCGATGGGCAAAGGCCTGCTGTTAGGCGCCGCGCCGCGCACACCCGCCCGAGGCGCCGCCGCGCGCGTCAGGTGAAGAAGAAAAGTGAAGAAAAGTGAAAAAAGGGGGCAAAGTGCCGAGCACGGCTGGCTGGGTCCGCCTAAATGTTTAAATGTTTCAGCAGCCTACTCTCAAGACGAGCGCCGACAAAAGGGGTGCCTCGAGGTAGTCAGACACAATAATAATTATTTAAAAATAAAGATAGTAAGAAAATGAGCAAAACTCTCAATTCATTGTAAATTTTTCCTTTAAGGCTACACGAATAAATTTTCTTTTAGTTTGGAAGCAAACTTTTTCTCTTTTTACACTTATGCAACCCGTGCTGGGCGTTGCTATCTGTATGCAGCATCAGGCGCAATGCTCTATTTTCTTCCTCATCCTCGTGCAAAATTGTCTCTCTATCTCCTCTCCTACGATGTAAAAGTTCGCCTCTCTCACTCTCCCCTCCCGCCCGCTCCGTCGTGCAATATTTCCCCAGCCGATCGGGGCGGATCGGAAAACACCTTATTCGCGCCGCGGGGTGGAACATACCGAGAGAGGCTGCCGCTTCCTGAACAAGGCGCGAGAATGGTGTTATGGTACGCAAGCCCGCCCCGGCCCGGGCCCGGGCGCGTTAAAGGGATAGTGAAAGTGGCCGCGCGGCCCTTGGCTCCCCCTGGGGCCTCTGCTCTTGGGGGGCTCCTCGTTGGAGGTGTGAGAGCGACTAGGCATGGCAGCCCAAGGGATTAGGTTCGCTCCGATCAGCCGGTCGGTATCCGTGCGTGAGCAAGGCGTCGGCCGATTTATGGCGCAGTAAACAGAAAACCTTGTTGTTGTTGTTGTTGTTGTTGTTGTTGTTGTTGTTGTTGTTGTTGTTGTGTTGTAAGAAATAGACTTAGAATGTCGCGGTGAAAGGAGGCGGCACACGGAGCGCGGCGGAGCGACGGCCGACGTCGCGGCGCCTGAGGCCGAGGCGCATCCCGTCCCATCCCGACACAGCCATTGATTTACATGTACTCAGACAAAAAAAATATATATAAAAAAATAAAGAAAAAATTGTGTGGAAATGTTCTACATAATAATGAAGTACACACATATGCTGTGCAAAATGTAATGTTGGTTTTATAAAGTTTCGACGAGGGGTCACTTTCCTCTTCTGCAGTAAGAACGTGCTATTGTTTACTTTGGAGATACTTCTTGCGAGACAAGATAGGCGATCTGCACAATTTGAGTTGCTGATGTCAGCGGGCTACTCACGCATGCATGGGAAGGCCGGGGCCGGGTTCCCCGTGTGTGTGGGTAAGAGGCGCTCACCTGCAAGCAGAGAGAAACATGGGGTCAGGCCGTGCACTGATACATCGGGGCTATTAGGAACACTGTTTACATTTTTTTTTTGCACAGAAAGGCAACGATGGTGACGGACGTTATTTTAATTTTAAAATTATAGAGAATCATGTCTCAGGGACTTATCACATTCCAAATAGAGGTAGTAAATAGTTATAATTTGAAAGACAAAACAACGGGCGGAAAACAGAATAAAATGCAAACTAGAAGTGAAAATCATATAATGTTACTTTCACAAAATTTCCCTTGTTGGGCAAACATACCAAAACGTTCAACGTATAAGAGTACGTCCGCGTGGTGTGAGAATTTCTTTTCTTTCAGCGGCTCGCCGTCAGAGATAGCGCCCTTCGTGAGCGTGATGCACGAATGCTATGGCGATACTGATATCCGGTGCCGCGGTCGGGCGTGCTGGACCCCGCGCTGAACCAGGAACACCTCGACGTCCTGGACGCCTCGGCTTTCCTCGCCGCATCACGCACACGGTAGGAAGTGCAGTGGTGACTCAAGTTTTGAATACAAGGAAAACCCTCCAACCCTAAAAATTGTTAATTAAACCAATTTTTCAAACAACCCTTTAATTCGAAATACAATCTAAGATAGCGACATTACAGGACATTACATTTCTTAAGAGCTGTTTCATTTTAGATGTTTTAGCGGGGTTTTCTGAAAGTCTCTCCTGTGAGATACGCTTGATGCCATTCCAGGCGCAGGCCCTTCTAGTAAAAGGCCTCGAATAGTCTAACCTACTTGCGGATGAGACCGACCGAAACCAGAGGCATGAGGTTGGAGACCACAAAAGCGACCTTGCCCTGCGGTATGTCGCGCACCGTCCCACCTTAACGGCCGCACCGGGGCCCCTCTCCTCGCGTCACACTGAGGTTGCTCTGGAACTCCTGGAGCTGTGCCCGGGCTGTGCGCGGGCTGTGCCCCGGTAGCGGTGCGGTACGCTTTCGCGAGGATGAGGTTAACGGCGGCCAATTTTCTTGCTCGTTGCGAGAAATTGAGTTTTCCAACAAAACTGGAAGTACAAGAAAATATGCAGTTTCTATTCCATGCAAGGTTGTGCTTAGTTGCTCCACATTGTTGTTGACACCTGTTCTCCCATTGTAAACAGATGGCGAGAGATGGTCGCGTCGCTGTTAAGTGTGTCAAACAATTGTGGAGACAAGTTAAACACTGTGAAAAATGTCGACCTAAATTTACGATGTATTTTGTAATTCATATTTGTTGTAAATTTATGGCACCCCAAACTTTCACGTCGATAAATTCCAAGTGCTTGTAATTTTACAATTTTTAATTGTAATTTTACGACACGCGTCAAGAAAAATTTTCCCGTAAAACCTACAACATGTTTTCACTGTGAATAGATGTTCAATTGCATAGATAATTTCATCACTGGGCGGTTAAGGTATCTCAAGTTACTCCTTTTCCAACGCAAAAGGTCGCAGGCGCGGGGCCTCGCCAGGGCTCCATTGGTAATATACCGTGGCAAAAGAGCCCCGCGCTAAAGACCGTTAATTGCTGCGCTGACCCCGACAGGCCACGGCAGGGGTACCTCCTCGGGTACCTCCTCGGGTACCTCAGCGGGCCCCGGCGGGGTGCGGGGGGGCCCCGATGGGGTAGGTCAGGTCGGCTGCCGCCGCTGTACCGTTGCTGCATGCAACAGGCTTCCGATGTTCATTAGAAAGTCTTACATACTATACACGAGCCACTGAAATTTGCTGTGCCCCATTGGAGCGCCTGAAGGGGGCGGAGCTCGCGGCCGCGCGACCTGACGTCGTGGCAAAAAGATGACTTCCTGATTCCCTTCATTTCAAAACGCTATTTGTGGAGAGGAGCTTGTAAAATTTTGTAGTGCAGGTTAAACAATTTCAATTCAGTTATCAGCGACAAAAATGTCGGTTTAAAAACAACATTTTTGAGACTTTTTCTTTCAGAGTTGGTAAAGAGGAGTATACTTCCTCGACTCCAAGTCAAGTAGTTGCGTTGCAGGAGGTGACATGCGGGCTGGCACGGTGGAAAACGAAATCCGCAGAGAGTGGCGAAACCATCTTACCGTACCACACACTCTAAAAAAAATCAGTACAAAATTCTGTAACATTGTTACGCAGTAATTTACATATCACATGTTACAGAATTTTGTATCATTTTTGATACAGATTTTAATCTGTAACATGGATACGAAAATCTGTATCATGTGATACAGAACATCTTTGGAATTTTAAAATTGTAATTCTGAATTTTGTTACTCTTCCTCCCTTTCCCACTCTTCTTTTTTTCTAGGGGACTTAACTCCTTCGATTTCATTTCAAGTAATGTACCTTGCCGCACCGGGAGTTGAACCCCAGATCCTTGGATTAGGAAGTCGCGCCTTTACCCGCGCGGCCACCCAGGCTACCTGAGGAGAGGTGCGCTCGAACCCGGTGTTATGCCACCGCGGCTCCCGGAGACCGTGCCAACGAAGTTCCATAATTCTGTATCCAGGGATACAGAAAATTGTATACAACGTTACTTGATCTTGTATCTGTTACAGAAATTAGTAACATTTGCGGAATTTTGTAACATTTTGATCAGATTACAGAATTTTGTACCCATGTTACATGTTTCCATATCACAAGAGCCTGATACAGGATTCTGTATCAAATTTGATACAGAATTCTGTATTATTTTTTAGAGTGCACTCCCCCTCCGCCCCGCCCAGGTTCCCTGCATGTCTCTTTTCAAGCTGCGAAGAAACATGACAGGGGCGCTGCGTACGGCGCGGCGCGGGCGGGCAAAGGAGAGATGTGATGACATCCGAGCCGACCGCAGGCCGTTGTGGTCCCACCATAGGCTCGGCGCTCACTGGTTGGCGATGAGAACTCTGGAAACTCAAGTGTGACGCAGCCCAACAGTTATAAGTGCAACACCAGGAGTGTCACAGTTGATATCACTCTTGAGAGTGCAACATGTGTGGTACTACACTTTAATGTGTGATACATGAGTAGTACTACAGTTGGAAGTGAGATACATACTACATACTACCAAGCAGGGTTGGCAAACTTTATTGAATTAAATTTTAGTATTACGCACTTTCCTGTGCAAAATATTTTATCGATTTAAACATTTAGCCTCCGTGCATAATTCATTTCGCCCTTTTCAATTTGCCCTCAATGGGCAATAAAGTGCAAAATGTTTTTGCTCCTGGGCAATATTTTCAGAAAAACACATTTTTGCTCCCGTGCACCGGGTTATATTTTCGCACA